TTGGTTAGTTATGTTGCTTTGCATTCACATACACTAATTTTGCAGGCTGTCTTCAGCTTTATTACGATGCAGCTTCAGTTTTGTTCTGTCTTCTTTACTTTTTCACTTGGGACCAGGACTCACTATTTTGGACGTACTATCCTTCACGGTGGTGCAAAGGTATGTGGGTCAAATAAATTTCACTCCCAAGGAACTTATAATAGGCACCAGAATAACCCGTCATGATACTTATAAACAGTACCGGGCGACTGGACGAGGTTTTGTTGTTCGTCACATCAAGTTTGCGGAGAACTATAGGCTTTATTCCAGAAGTCATTTTGTTAAAGCGTGAGTCCTAGATCCCATTAATTTGATTTGTGAATTTTCTTTTGATCCTAGAACTGTCATTGATACTCTGTAATCCCCAGGTTGGAAGTGGCTTTACTTCTTATAGTGTACTTGGCTTATGGTTACACGAATGGAAGCACTACTTCCTTTATCTTACTAACTCTCAGCAGTTGGTTCCTTGTCATTTCATGGCTATTTGCTCCTTACATCTTCAATCCCTCTGGATTTGAGTGGCAAAAGTATGTTATTTCTCGTATTTACCGTTCTTTATGGAAATTTCTTTTGTATGATTGCCGCTGCTCTCCACTGCATGCATTTTACACAAGCACCAGTTTTACTGTACCATGTATTTCAAACTGCTTTCTGCCAAAGAAGCAGAGTTGTAAATGTTGATGAGATTTGGTACCATTATAGTTATACTCCCTTCCTACAATTTTGATTGACCCATTTAACTCTTTTCATATTTTGGTGAAGAAATTCTTAAATGATGTATTAAATTTGAGTTTGGTAAAGAGATGGTAAATCAAATAAGATTAGTCACATCATATATTCCAAATAAGATAAAGTAGACATCATGTAGTATTGTAATTTGATTTTTTTAGGATTGTTATAAGTCTCACTTAAGGACATAGTTCATTTCTAGGATGGACAATGGTAGCAAGTAATCAAAGAAAATGGGATGAGGCAGTTGTGACCAATATGTAGTTACACCAATTATCCTTTTAAATCATAGTTGTCATCATTTTTTCCTTATCCTTTTGTTCATGTGTCATCCTCCGACTGTGGTTTGTGATGCTGTTAGAGCTGCTGATAGTTTCTTGATTCTCTCAATACTTGTCATGATTTTACAGGACCGTTGAGGACTTTGATGATTGGACCAACTGGCTTATGTACAAGGGTGGAGTAGGTGTCAAGGGAGACGACAGCTGGGAGTCCTGGTGGGATGAAGAACAGGTCGACTTATGTATCCTTCTAGTTGTAAATTTTGTAACATAAATTATACCTTCATGAGCTCTCTTGTCCTTGTCAATTGCATACTGGCCAGTACTGTATTACCCACTTGTCTCCTCTTTTTGATGCAAACAGTTGAGACATTTTTAAATTGTGATGTTCCTTTCCGTCACTTTTTTCTGTACTCCCTCTGCCTAAAATGAAATATGAGGAATTTTTAGGCTACTAGAAACTCCCTGTCCTCCAAAAGAAACTGAAAATTAAACGAAAAATAAAAAAGGAAGTTCTGGAAATTGCTCTTTCTGACACCAAGTTTTTATATTGCAGATTCATATCCAGACTTTGAGAGGACGGATACTAGAGACTATATTGAGTCTCAGATTTTTTCTCTTCCAGTATGGCATTGTCTATAAACTTCAGTTGACGGGAACAGACACTTCCCTTGCGGTATGTTTTGCATTAGTTGCATACTAAGACAAACATTTAGTTCTCTGTGGAATGAACCAAATGGGCGTTAATGGTTGTTTTTTGTGTGCTTACATGGTTGTTTTTCATGTTAATAAATTGAGTGGATAGCGTTGGAATAAAAAGCACATTCATAGTATACAATTTTCTAATGCAAAACTTATGCTACTATGAACTTGTACATTTTCTCAGTGTGACAGATCTAAAGCTTGTGTGTTCTTGGGCATGCATTTATAGCTTCCTGGATTAGTTATACTGATGCTTCCTCTCTTTTTTTTTTCATCTTTGGGGCATAGAAAAAAAATATTGGCTTATATGACTATTGGATTTGTATATAATGGGAGCTACTCTTGTTGGAATTGTTCTTAATTTAATTTTGTCTTCATCTATTACGTACATTTCACGAAAGATAGTTAAGACTAGAACATATACTACTAATTCTTTATTCAGTTTGCAGATAGATAGGAATCATTTAAACAGATTTTGCTTTAACGAATTTAATAAATAAGTAGGAGAGTTTGATATCAGTGAAAGAAGATGTAAGAACTGTCCAGTGAAAGCCATGTCTGCAAAAATATTTCCAGCAGGGTTACTGCTTTTGATTGATATATGATGCGAGAAAACTTTAATACAGAACAGTGCAGCATCCCCTCTGGTTCTGCGAATTTTTTAATTTTTAATAATGTTCTCAGATTTAGTGATGTTATTGTGTTTTACTTTATGTTTTGATGTTGAGTGCTACTGTATATTTCTGTGTTGTATTGATTATGTTCTCTTCTGAAGACAACACTAACCGAAACTCTTTGTACAACTAGATATATGGCTTTTCTTGGATTGTACTGGTGGGAGTTGTTATGATCTTCAAGGTATTCATATATCTGTGATGTTATTGGCTTACTTTATTTAGGCTTATGTAACTGCAATGCCCCAAACTTAAATAATCTTTGGAAACTATCAAATTGCAGATCTTTACTTTCAGCCCTAAAAAATCCACCAACTTCCAGCTCATGCTGCGATTTATTCAAGGAGTTACAGCTTTGGGACTTGTTGCAGCTCTTTGCCTTGTTGTGGCTCTTACCGAACTGTCTGTTGCTGATTTGTTTGCTAGTGTCCTCGCCTTTATTGCAACTGGTTGGGCTGTCCTTTGCGTAAGTTAGCGAGCTCCTGGGCTGCTTTCTAACATCTTTTTGTTGCTTCTACTTTCTGACAACTGCTTGCACAATTTACTGCATAGGGGATTCCTTGTTATCTTTATTTGCTTCTGTATGATATTAAAAATCATCTTCTTTAGTTACTGTTGGAATAAGTTTATGTCCAAATTTGTTATAGCATGGTTGAACTCATTTCTGCAATTGTGAATTCTTACTATCATCCTGTTGGAATGTATAACCAAGTCTCTCGTGATGTTCTTTTAAAGTGTTTCCCCAGCGTATATATTTGCATATGTATGTCATGGAGGTATTTATTTTCAGTTTGTGGCAGTTGCACCACTTGTGAGTTCTTACTGCAGTCTTTGCACGACCTGGACCCCCCCACACTGACTGTTTTATCTGAGTGTTGAGATCCTTCTATTTGCTAAAACATTTATATCCTAGCGAGGAAGTAACTATAGATATGTTTTATGTGACTGTTTTATCTAAGTTTCTATATGTTCTTAAACACATTGTAATTTTCCTTGCAGCTGGCAATCACATGGAAGAGGGTTGTGTGGAGTTTGGGTCTGTGGGAATCTGTGAAGGAATTTGCTAGAATGTATGATGCTGGGATGGGTATCATTATTTTTGCTCCAGTGGCAATATTATCATGGTTCCCATTTGTCTCTACCTTCCAGTCGCGGATACTCTTTAACCAAGCATTCAGTCGTGGTCTGGAGATCTCTCTCATTCTTGCTGGGAACAAAGCAAATGTTGAACCCTCGACATTTTAGATTTTAGAAAAAGGGCCTATATCCATGTAGAATTTGTATAGTTTGCAAATTGGTAGACTGTATCATATGCCTTTTGTCTAATTATTTCATAGTTAGGAGGGTACTCTGAGATGGCAAGTACATTAACTATTTTAGACATCATTTTGGCATCTCAAGTTCCATCTGTAAGTTTGATATGACGTATGGACAAATTAGCCCTATAATGCAGTATACATGAAGATGGGGTGACCAAATTTATTTTGGTTGTATTTAGGATCATGGCAATTTTGCTCCTTTTTTTGTATCTGTCGTTTCTTCATAGCTGTAATGAGGGTTAATACTGCATTTTTGTCACACTGCCTATTCAGGAAAGGTAAATTAATTTTGTAATCCTTTAGTAATTGTACTTCAGCTTTATGGCTTTTTTTTTATAAAGAAATCTTTGATTTTTCACAAGATTTGGAAAAAAATGTTTTCTATCCAAATTGTAAGTGGTTATATAAACTGTCCTTTAGGACTTTTGAGAATCAACTCTATTTTTGTTTGGAGCCCTATTAAATTTGGATAGAACATTGCAGTGCGCCCTACTTCCAACAAAATTTTCTGCGGTGTTATCACAGAAAAGCTTTACGTAAAGTAATAAAATACGCGATAATATTGACGCAAATGTTCAGTACGTAAATAAACGTTCATTCAATTCGCTTCACTTGTCATGTTCGTCAAAATAATTATTTCAGGATAACGATTTCATTCTTAAAATTTTTAACGATACCATATATAGAAATTGGGGAAAATAAAGAAGAATAATCCATTAACATTATCCTTTAAACTAAAGTTATTTCAAGGGTAATGCAAAAGAGGTAACAGATGGAATAACAAGAGTCATTTACTTGTTAACCCGATGAAGTAATTAATTATGCACAAAAGCGTTACTCCTTCAATCTCTAATTATGTATCCTTTCAAAAATACAAATTAAAATTACTTTTACCGAAATAGAAATTGTTCATGAAAGTTACACATAAAAAAGAGATTATATAAAATAAATAAGAATAAAATAGTTAAACTCCTCTTAGATGAAAAAAATTTAAGGACGTGTAAAAGAAGATAGATAAAATGTAATTGAAAGGGAGGGGATATTTACCAAGACAAAGTGAAAGTAATAACTGATTAATTCACCTGACAGACAGTTTTTCTAGTAAATTGACGGCAAATAATATTGAAAAGCAAAATATCACTCAAATATACTCCGAAAGATGCTCAAATATTTCTCAGGAAGAGTAAAGCTGTGAACACGAAAACGATAACTTCCCATGGAAGCTATGAATACAGGAAAAAGATTTCTGAAAATAGTTTTAGTAAAACAGAAAAAAGTCTTGACATGAATGAGATAGATAAAGATTTGAAAATGTATTCAAAGGGGAAAACATGCTAAATAGCCCAGATCAACCCCCTGTGCTGATATCCCAATATCTTCATTTAATCTAAAACAAAATGCTCTATCAACAATTTACAGTATCCTATTTTGCTTGCGCTTTTAACAACATGAAACATAGAGAGATAAATGTACCATCCTCTAAATAGATCTGAGAACTTATACTCACGTCGGTGGAGTTTTAAGACTCCGAAGATCAACCATTGGCTTATGGTTTTAAACTCAACTCTAGATGGAACTGGTCTCATACAGACTGCTGTATCAGTGATCCACTTCCAGGTGCTGTCCTTGCCATCCTAGAGACATTTGTGATTGCTCACGTTGATCAAAGCCAGACTCGGCAGCTGATGCAGATCCAACATAATTTTCTGGATGATCAAACTTACAAGCAGGACCATACTTGCATATTCCATAGCGGCTGTAGAATGAGCAGACGGTTTGATCCTGCATTTACAAAAAATTGAAAGAAGAAAAAAAAAGGCGCGTCGGTGGAACAAAAGTCAGCAACTTGAAAAAATGAGTACTGCAAATAGATAACTTAGATACTTTCCAGAATAGTAATTTATGTTGGTGCAAGTATTTTGGCTCAACTTGGAGATAATTTAATCACCTATAACACATTTGACCTATATCATAAAAATTAAAAATTCATGGAAGAAAAATCAAACAAGTTTAAGATCCAGAAAGAATAAAAACGTACAGGTCTTAGAGGCAGGCCCTTGTCGTTCAGAGTACTTGAGTTTGCTTTTGATATTCTAGACTTTGGATGATGAAATTTGCAGCTAGATCTGTATTTACAGTCTCCAAATTTAATGAAGTAACTGCATTCAGGTTGACCAGGACGTTCAGGATATTCTTCAACCTGCTGTGACTGTTGAGACAGTGGATAGAAATTGGTCTTTGCCGGGTTATTCATCGCATATGCTGGAGGAGTAGGTAGTCTTTTCTCTGATGTTGGATAGGCCGGGGCCTCAAACAGCAAAAACGAAGAAACAAGTAAGCTCAGGAAGCAAAGGTGTCTAGCAACTGTTCAGAATAATAAAGACTGCTTTTAAGAAAACAGGCAAAGTAAAACAAGAACCTCCTCGAGAAATTTCACAGCAAATGAGAATGTAACGTAAACTTTTTGATTAAGAATAATATTAAACTAATCTATTTTGTTCAGCATTTATCATATTGCCCAATAACTAGCAAGTTCCTTTCTGGCCCAAGAATGAGTGCCTTGACATTTAATGGGACCAAGCATAGTCCTTAAGGTAAATCTATAATATACCAGTAAAGTTACCATCTCCATCTACAGAAATAGACGTTACAACCATATAATATCACTTGCCTGGATGGAAGTACCTGCTTCAGATAATTCCGGAAAGAGGTCAGAGGGACCAAGTTAAGTACTAGAGATATGATAATGCAATCTTCAGAAAACACATCTTTTTTGATAAGGTGATAAAATAATATTAAAGATGGGAAACAAGCACCAGCATACAAGCAGAAGGTAGAAAACATTACAATACAGAGCACACATCATAAACAACATACAACAGATAATAAGCTATGTTATGGACTACCTGATAGGCTGATACCATTCCAGCATACCAGAAGGTACAACATTACAATACAGAGAAAACATCATAAACAACATACAACAAATAATAAGCCAAGTTATGGACTACCTGATACCCATTCCATTCAATATTTGGAGAAGCAGTGCCTTGGGTTGGTGGGTACATATTTGGTACATAAGGAGCTGTGTCATTCAATGCTCTTGGCGGAGACCAAGAAGATGCAGATGAATGTGAGGCAGCTTGTACAGGAACAGCTCCAGTGTTGTTATGTCCAGAAGATAGATCAGCTCCAGCCACAGTGGTAGGATCAGGATGATGAAACCTACAATTGGACCCATACTTGCAAGAGCCAGTACGCATATAGTAAGGGCACTCCCTTTCCCCCTGAAATGAAGATTAACAAATATGACCCCTTGAGAGAAAATGATCAGAGTTACAAACTTCTGAAACAGCAGAAAGAAGTAATACCGGTCGGATGGGCAGGCCAAGAAAGTTGAACTCCACAATTGGTGAAATGGCACCCTTTTCCCTACTATGATTAAATTTACAAGCTTTTCCATACTTGCAACCCCCTGATGTCAGGTAATACTGCAAAGCAAAAAAATGGAGATCAAGACACAAGTAATTACCAAAATCAAGAAAGTTCTTGGGTATTGTATCCAAATTACTTACTGCATAAAAAAGATATTAAGTTTCGTCAACAAAAGAAATGAACACACATTCTAAAAGCAGTAGGACCAGGGATTAAAAAGCACAAAAGAATTTAAAAAGAGTACACAAAATTCAGAAAATAACAAAGAAAAACAGTTGTACCAACAATTAAATATTCTAATAGCTACTGTTCTCGTCATTATTTTTATCAAGCTTTTTGGTAATTGTCAACCCATGAATCATCTAAAGCAAACAACACATGTCCGCATCATTAACAAAAATCAATTTCAATCATTTCATAAGGCAAAGGATCCTAAGTAGACACATCAAGATAGTCAAGGTTTTACTTATAGCTTCTACATGACATACGATCATGTTTCCTTATCCCAAAAGCACAGTCGGCCATGTTTCAGTCCCATCTCAAAATATATTCAAGAAGATATTTAAGAACGCTGCATAAATGAAATATTGATTTTCTGTATGTAAACAAATTGCACCATAGGAATAACTGAGCAGTGTTGTTTTGAATTTTATGTGTATCAAACTATGGCTCATCTAAAATACTACAATTCGGATGTGGGAATTTACATAGTATGATAAGGAAATTTACATAGTTCCTCGCAAAAGAAGCATTTTCTTCACCATACAAAACCTTTAATTGGAGATCTCTAAAATTTACCTACTTATGCAATCGAAAATCACTACTCTGACAAACTCCAATAAGAAAATTACTAAAACAGAGCAAAAGCAGAGGGAACATCATAATCAACTCACTGCCCTGGCCATAAATCTACTAGCAGTGATAAATAGGTAAGGTTCTAGTACAAGGGATATCAACAACTTCCCCCTAACAGAGAGAAGGGATAACAAACCTCTCCAACCTTAGTAGAAAAGGTGGGAATCTTCTCCTAAGTGTTCCAACTTAAAGGCCCAGATACAGATGGAAAAAAGTAGAATCTATCGTGCTGCTTTTCAAATTTATGATACAGCGAGTATTAGATCTTAAATAGTTCAGGACCTTACTGGAATGCAAATTCTTCCATCCTTTTGTTCCTAGATCCTACTTGTTTTAGGGCCTCTCTTATTTTCCTTTGTATATCAACCAATATCTATTGAATTTGAGACGAATTCTAAAAAACTGGTTTCATAGAGATACATTTGAAATCTTAAGAGGGACTACGAATTTATGTCATAGAAATCAGCAGGGTATGAATGTATCTCCTTCGTTCTTCAATCCAGAAAAATTAGTAACCATGTAAAATCTACACACGAGACTTTATATCAGAAAATTCTACACCATAGAAAACTTTGATGTATCAAAAGAAATCTTTGTATAAAAAAATTGCACACAAAATCTTCAACAAAATATATTGTTCTATACCTAGAGCATCCAATCATCTACTGGTTGGGATATTACATGAGCTCAAAACATGCACACAAACAAGAACAACAGCATACCAGGCATAGTCCCATAAGTGGGGTCTAGGGAGGGTACAGTGTGCACATAACTGATCCCTACATTGTCAGGTATAGAGACTGATTTGTTTCTGATAGACCCTCGGCTCCAAAAAGCAAATAACACAACATTTATGAAGATAGGAGCAATGATAATAGCGGGATAGTAAGAAAATAACGGCATACAAGAGAACAAGTAGTAGTAGAAAACTGAGTGTGAAAAATATATAGAAATAGTACAATAATGAAAATACAGCAAATAATACTTATACTCTAATCAGAGAGACACGAAACTATTTACTTATAGCCTTCAACCCGAATCCTCAACCTCCATACCCTCCTATCAAGGGTCATGTCCACCAGGCTAGAGATGTTGAACATTCGAAACTGTGAAGTTACTTCTAAATATCAACACCATTTTTAATTCCAAGAACATGTTACAATTTTATGACCTACTTTATACTTCCACTATTCATCAAGTTCTCCATATGGCAACAGGATCTAATTAATCCTCATCTGGGGATAAACTTCATATTTATCAGCAATGACCTTCTCTGATGCATTTAAAATTCAGGCATAGGAGCTGAGAAGAGGTAATGTTATAGATATAGATAGGTATGGAATATAATAAGTTGGACTGCTTAACAAAGTACTCGTGAGCAAGATTTCTTTCCCTTTTTAGACCAGTACCTCTTCTCAGCTTTTCTGATTGTTGGTTTTGACACTATACAACTTATGTGTCGCACATAATGCTAGGCATAGATACATCTTCAAAGAGAGTAATATTACAGTTGAAGGCATCCACTAACTTCTTAATGTTGAGTGCCTCACACCCTAAATGATCTCATACTTTTACATATTTATCCTCAACCTTGATATTGTCTGGAACCATAGTATTCCATTATTAGGTAGGTGAAAGAATGCATCTTTCTGTATTCTGTAACATAAAACCAATAGATTATCTGCAAATAGCGACTCATATATCAAACTTTCCCACCGTTCTAGATGTAAAACATCTAATATAGTCCCCATCACCAATGTATATGCCATCCTAATAAATGTATCTCATGTCCATTATGAAAAACACAACACCATAAGGTATAAAAGGTCCCATTGACATATGCCTATTGGTCTTCTGACAAAGTTTGTAGATTCCAAAAAATGACCAAATCAAGAATACAATTGATATTTCTCCAATCTCATTTGAAACAATTCTATTCATCTTTTCTCTAATAATGTTTATCCATCCCATCAGAGTCATGTCAAATGTCTATCTTCCTTCAACAAGCAGTTTTAGATGAGGTTTTGTGACCTCTAGCACTTCCTTAGGTTTAAAGAAGGTACTTCGAAAAAATTTTAAGTTTCTGTTGGACTTGTAGGCCTAAATTTACTTAACATTCAGCCTGCATTCTTCTTCGACTAATCACAACAATGGATTAAGTGAGACTCCTCCTGAATTCGTAGAGTGAATATAATTTAGCTTAGCCCATTGACAATGCTCTCCTCCATTTTGTTCAACATAAATAAAAGAATGTTGTTGTGGATCCATCCTAACTCGGAGCTTCATCTCCCCACACTACTTATGACTGCCTGTCTGCCTCCTTATGCCCTCCTCCAAAACATCCAATATCAACCACATAACTCCCCTAAGTTCCAATCTTGCTGCCCAACCTACATCATCTGTATGCAATCATGTTAAGAATCCCTTAATAACCCCTCATTCCTCTCCTTTAACCCTTACCCCCTGATCCATCAACCCTATTGTATTCACAAATTCTACTCATTCTATCACCAATAGCTTCGCTGATGAAAGAATTCTATTATGATCTAATTTTCAACCATAGCACCCTTGATTATTATTGTTTACAACTAATCACTCCAGTGTTTATCAATTTTTTTAGAAGGTAATAACTTGTATTCTATTCCAAAAAAAAAAAATAGGAACCTGCCACAACAAATTACCGTTTCCTAATTACAATTGTGGAGAGAAGCAGGAAGATCTTCAATCCTAAAGCAAAATTTACAAGGAACCTAAAACATTGTAACTGATTCTAGATCTTCCATGTACTTCTGTTTACACCAAAAAAGAAACAAAAATAAGCAGTTCATCTTAACCTTTCAAGGAGATTTCTTTCTTTCCACACAAACAGCCAAAAGCAAGTGGAATGATTTTCCATCCCTCTTTATGCCCAATAATGCTTGCATAACTGCTCCATATCTTCAAAGTCTGGGTAGCTCACCTAGGCATAATATTCCACAAAATGTGGTTACCCTACCGTGAAGGAAGAGATGGGTGACAGTCTCTACTTCTTCACCACATAGGAAGCACCTACGCTTCAGATGAATATTTCTCTTCATATCAGCTTCCATGGCCACCCATTGCTCGAACTGTAACAAGGATAAAACTTCTAGTAGGCTCTTTTGACACTGAGATTGTCTTGATTGTGATCCTGTCATCCCAGACTATCTTGTGCATCAGTAGTTCCTTTGAACTGCCCCACGACCTTGTAAAACTCCACCAACCTCTGGTCTCCAGTCATTTGTATCTTCTAAAACTCAGATTCCACCCTTGGCTTGACCATATCTCCGCCACAGTCGCCCTTATCTGCTGGTTTAGCCAGAAAATATCCAGGAACAAAGTTTTTAAAGATCCTTGTTCTAGCCATTTATCTTCCCAGAAAGAGGTTCTCCTACCATTACCCAATTTAATATTGCAGTTTCCTCTGAGCTTTGGCCATTGGTTTCTGATGGCTCTCCAAAGAGCTTGCTCACTGGAGGCAAATCTCCACAGCCACTTCATCATATAGCACTGGTTCTGTATATCTAAATTCCTTATCTCCATCCCCCTTACTTAGTGTTTATCATGTTAGCTGGTTCTTCTTTTCCCTCGTTTTTCTCTTTTTCTCATCCTACAAACCCTTCCTTTTCTACTGAACTCTACAATTACATTCATCAACTCCCTCAAATTTATTTCTAACTCTTTCAAACGCCTTCCTAAACCTGATTCTTAAACTGTTCTCAAATAGCTTTAAAACAGAAAGGAATCCCTTGGACATGGAATTTTGGTTTCTCCAATTCTAACTATCTCCCCAAAGTCGCTTGTGACTATATGTTTTTAAACTCATTATTATGCTGGGACTATCAATATAGAATACAGAGGAAGGAACTGGAACTTGGGTAGCAACAACTTCCGAGCAATTGACATAAGAAATGTGTTAAGTCTCAACCTTAATCTTCACAGAGTGAACATTCGCACCTAGATTCTTTTGCTCTTATTAATTGAATAAAAGCCAAATGGCAAGTGTTCAACCCTTGTGATTAACGATATTTTTCCCCTTGTTTGTTTTTAAGTAGGATGCTAAGTGGACCTCAACTAATATAGGGGCAACCTGGTAAAACTCACAAGCATCGATAGACTGTAAACTTACCCTCCAAAACTGGAACGAAATGATTCACACTGAGTGTTGTTGCTGAATTCAAGGATCAGACACCAATGTATTGCTCCTACGCCCCAACCATTAAACTATCCATTCCATCAAGAAAAATACTGATGGTTTACCTTTTGGCTTTCATGTTCAAAACATCAATATTTACCAAATTAATCTAGACATTAGCTTTCTCTTGGTTTCCCTCCCATATACTAGGGCTGCAACATGATCTGAAACACTCTCTTTGTACCAGTTTATGTGGCAGACTTTCTCTTATAGTTTGTCTCAAGAAAATGTCACATAACTACTTAGACTTATCATCCCCAGTTTACCTTTAGAAAAAAGTTCACCTTCCACGAGGGAGAAATTTGAAAGATCGTGTAGAGCTCGCACTGCCTCTAATTTAATTGTTGATATTTACCATAGGTGTCAAAAACCTCTTATATTTTCTTGAACCACAGGTGCAAGGAAGAATCCCCACATAAAATGGGATAAATGAAGCAAAACCACTTCCTACACATCAATCATTTATAGAACACCCTGTCCCTGATCATAACCTTCACAATCTCAATGATGACTACCCAAATGAATCAGCGAGAGAGAAATAGAGAGAGGAGAGAGACAGCATTTGACAATCCATTTTATTTACTGTTAAAAGTAGGATCTATAATTCTGGACCAGCTATCAGCAAAAGTAATGTGTTAGCACTTAGCATTAGATCTGAACACCAGAGATCAAATTTGCCAATGAATCTAAGTTTCTAATTTCAGAAAAGATCTAACAGCACCATGTTATGATATCTTTATCCTCGATCAAAGTAATTACTCATAAAAGAACAAGAACAGTATATTCAAAGATTTGCATTTTCTGCCCTAAAAAGCAAATGTTAAATTCCACCAACCTTGCATTCAATCTGCCCTGGCCTCTCCTGGCTGTCTTCCCTTTGCTTCCCCTTCTCCTTTGTCCCCTGCTGAATAATTGACAGAAGAAGCTAACATCAGTTAAGCTTCAAAATAGAACCAATATTAAGACAACAAATGTAATGAATACCACATCAAAGATTAAATGACCTCCCTCTAAAACCAATAAATTGCAATCCTACTCATTGATTAGGAAAAAACGTCAACCAAAAGCATTACTTCAATGAGCATTGCAGCAGATAAAAAAGAAAGTAAATCACACCATTATCCTCTGAAAATAAGATTCATCTAGACCATACCTCTAGCAGTCAAATTTTACTAGATCGACCAAAAAATGAACTTTGCTTACAAAGTAGCATCAATTCTGGCTGCAAATCGTACCTGGATTCTTCTTCTGGAAGGGTGATTAAACTTGCAATTCGATCCAAATTTACACATCCCTGTTTTCATATAATAAGGACAATCCTGAGCATCAGGTCTTAAAGGATAATTAATCTTCCTCTTATTAATCCTATTAGCATTAAACCCTGCTTCCTTAGAATCCCCTTCATAACCATTTTCGTTTTCCCCATCAATCTCATTGTCATTCCTACTTCCACTCCTGTTTTCATCACCATCCTCATCATACTGATCATAACCATATTCACCTACATATCCCCATCCATCATCATTCCCTTCAACATTTCCAAGCTCGTCTTCCAATTTTTCCTTGAGTTTTCCACTTTCTTCACGATCAAGGCGGTGAAGATCTTTGTTTCGTCCATCCTCATCCAGAACCTGGCTCAAGACCAGATTTTTAAGCTCTTCGCAAATGGCTTGCATCGCCATCTCATCATCATCGTCATTCTCATCAGCTTTTGGCTGATTTTGGTCAGGGTTTTGGAAATTGAGATCGGACGATAACAACAATGTTTCAGAATTCTGGGATTGAATCCCAAATTCTTCAGTTTGATCTGGTAATTGATTGTGATTTTGGTGTTGTTCAATTGCTTCCATTGTTGTTGCTCTGCATTTCAATCAGTAAAAACCCTAATTGAGGAATTCAGTAAAGTGAGTGAGTTTGAATGAGACAGTGGCTAATGAGTCAAAATTAATACGAGTAGTACTCCACCTAATTGTACTTGTTTTTTCTCTCTCTTTGCTTTATTTAATTTTTTCTGGTTTCCTCTTTTATCCTTCTAAATAATTTAAACATTTCCTTTTTAAATGGTGCTCCAAGGAAAAATAATAATAATATTTCCAACTTGTTTGCTATATTTAAAAATAGTCATTTATTTTTATTTGTTCGTTTTAAGAAACTAAGACATATTTTTTTATTTTTTAATGTATTTCATCAAATATTAAATTCATTATATTTAAAAATAATATAGTAAAAAAAATTTATTTATTATTAGGTAATTTGTTCGCGTGGTCGAAAATTACAATTGTATTGAAATTGAAATTAATCCTTTACTAATTAATATCTATACATTAAAAATAATGGAAAGAATAGGTTCTTAAAAAAATATTAGCAATTTTTCAAAATGAATTTATTATTTGTCATTATCACATAACTCAAGAATAACTCAAGAACCTCTAATGAATGAATTATTCAGGAAATAATAAGTCGTGGACTTTTTAATCAACATTAAAAGGAAAATAAAGAAGAAAATAAAAATATATACACAATGGCATTTTGTAAGAAAAAAAAATTTTAAGTTACATAGATTATATAATTGTGATATATGTCTCGGGGAAAATTCAAAAAAGAAATTACACTTAAGCATGAAAATAACTATAACTTTTAAACTTGCATAATGAATTTATTCAATTGATAAGTGAATATCTATATTAAAATAAATAAATAATGTAACCTTATATATTGTACTTTCAAGGTATAGAACTTTATATAGAATATCAAAACATGAATTTCTAGAACCGAGTACAATAATTATTCATAGCAGAATAAATATACTTATTATATGTCTATATATTCAATATAATCGGAGATAATAATTTTGCAGAAACATAAATAATAAAGTTTAAAACATGTACTCAAAAATAACAATTAACATCATAAAACATAAATTAATGACTGTAGAAAAATTTTCAGAATATGTAAAAATAGAAAGAAATAGAAAAAAAAAAAATCAAGTTCATTGAATGCACAGTGTCCTTTTAAGAAAATTATTCCTCTCTAATGCTTGAAGCAATGGTGGAGCCACCTGTTTCGCCGGAAAATTAGTACTATACATGGTTAAAATAATTTTTTAGGTATATGTAGTAGATGTTGAATCCCTTTGGCTACTTCGTGTGTCTATTTCTTCAGATTTTGAACCCCTTATTGAAAATATTGGCTTCATCACTGGCTTGAGGTTCAAAGAATTAAATCCTCTTGGTATGGAATGATTTTATTGACCAACGTATAGACACAAAAACAATATATGGCGTCAGTATGTCACTCAATAGGAGTAAAGTACATGAATATTTAATTATGCTACTTTAGAATTTTCGTTGCTTCAAAATAAAAGGAAACTCCCTCTATTTATAGACAATAAAGGATAGTGTGAACAAATATTAATTGTGGATAAGAAATGTCACAACTCTTTAGAAAAGTCACAATCCTTCGAAAAAATCATAACATTTTATAAAAGTCATAACTTTTCATGAAAAGAAAAGACTAATTTTATAAATAAATAAAATTTTAAAAAATGTTAATCTGTGACGATGCCACATAGATGAGCTTAAGGTGTATATATATATATATATATATATAAAATTTATTTTTAAAACAAAATCAAATCAAATTATAAATAAATAAAAATAAACTACGAATGTTTTTAGTGCGAACTTTATCAATCTCGTACGTCAAAAAGTAACATTTATTGCATAAGTTGTGAAAGCAAACTGAGTATTCATTGGACTCGCATGAATTTTGTACAAAATGTTTGTAAGAGATATTTAGTAGACTTATTACACGTTTTTGTTAGGTAAAAAATACGAGAATGTTTTATGTTTTCTGAAATTCAATATAACATTTGATGTAATATTCCCTCTGATTTATTTAATTTGTCAATTTTATAAATAAGAAGATTAACTTTACTTACATTTTAACTCATTTTAATATAATTTATTTACGTGTCTTATCCATCAATATCAAGATTAACAATGATGTTTTTTTGGAAACTTTATAACTAATATTTATGCAGGTCATCAGTTCTATTTATATGTTCAAAAAGAATTAATTTTGACTACAAGATAGGAAACTTATTAATTAATTCTATCTTTGGTAAATTAATAATAATGTGAGGTAAATAGTTTAGTAATATGGATAAGTAATATAACATGGAAGAAGTACTTGTTCGGAATACTCATATAAATATTTTTAAGTCAAATTAATTTTTAAGCACTTCAATAGTTATATAAAATATATTTTGCTGATACATATGAAATTGCTTAAAAATTCAACGGAGCCTTTAATTTTCATTTGATTATATTTATTTATGATACTTCTTTGGTTACAAATTACTAGAATATCGAAAAGCTCATAAACTTGCTTCAGAATCAACAATACATATATATACACACTTCTCTCTTTTTTTTTAAAATTAGTCTTTGAGTACATTGTATCCTTAACAATTATAAAAATATAATCTCAATTGTTTTGTTATTTTATACTTCACGATATGATTTTATATTTTTAATTTACTTTACCAATATTTATTTTTAATTTACTTTGATCGATATTCGTTAAGTTGTATCAATATAGTTGTATTATGAAATACAATAGAACAATATATCAACAGTAAATTATGGTCCTATTGAGTCTGACACCCAAATATATAAGAAAAATGATAAAAGGGCGATAAATAAATGCACTTGATTCAAGAAAAGACAATCAAAATAATAATAACGGAAGTGAAGAAATCATAGCGAAAATAGTAAAAAAGCTAGACAGAGCATTCTGGAGAAAAAGAAGATATAAATGTAGAAAACAAATGACTGAATTCTTTGATCTAGTCTAAAACTTTAGATGAAGATGAGCATATTTAGATCTTTTCCTCAGGTAAATATTGTATGATGATGTAGTAAACACATAAAATAAAAGAGCATACCAAGAGTCCAATCCCGCAGCAACTGAAAAAGAGAAGAATGGAAAAAAAGAAGAAGAAGAATCCACTTCCACATTTCATTTCAAATGTTAAATTCCTTGATTTTGGAAATAATTCTTACAGGATTGAAGCAATTGAACTACTTCAAATCAATGAATGGGGCCAATGAGGTACCTTGACTGAGGAGAGTTATCTGGTACCAAGAGAGACTTACAAAACGAAACTTGATCCTACACCTACCCCTATGTCTGTTAACTGAACAGTTCCATCAGTCATGTCAAATTACAATTTGCTTTCGTAGTCAACTTCTCCCCTTCTTCGAAATATGACCTGTCTTCCTCTTGTGACGACTGAAATCTGACACAAAACGAAATGTCTGGCCACACCCGATCTCAGAACAAGCATAAGGACGTGCACCTGTATGAACTCTTATGTGTTCAGTTCGAGCCCATGCCCACTTAAAAGTCATCTTGCAGCCCTTCCAAGGGCATTTCAGAGGACGGTCGTCCATATGAACCCTTCGATGCTGTACCAAATACTTGTGTGAGAAGAACTTCTTCTTGCACCCTTCGACAGGACAAACATTCTTTTTATGCAATGTAAGCTCCTGCTTTGAGCTAAAACTCATACTGCACCCTTCCAAGTCACAATGATATTCTCCTTCCTCCCTCATCCTTTTACCTATATTACTTCTAGGACCCTTCGTTACTGGTTCTTTCTTTGCAATGCTATTTGCAAAAGGAAGTTTGACCTTGGGACCTTTCTTGCTTTCGTGCTGCTTAGTTGGAGCTGGTTTGGCCTTCACCGACTTGGCGGGCGACTCGTTGCTCGGTTTTGGAATTCTTTTCCTCAGACGGGTGCTAGGCCCACCATCTGGATCATCATCAATGAGTGAGCCAAATATCTTCTTCTTATCAACATCCTTTTGAGGTTCAGGAGTCTCATATTTAATTCTCTTACTCCTAAGATTAGTTTTCCTCCGGTGCTGCTGAAGAATACTACTAAGTAAAGAATCATCATGGTCATCTGCTATTATTAATTGAGCATTCGAAGCATTCCTACTTGCTGCTGTACTACTCCTCTTTTTTCCAGTCTTGCAAGTTGTAGCGACAGTTTTACTAGTCGGAGTCCTTTCACGTGGTCTCTCAGACTTCACCTCAATCTTAATCAGGGCTGAGATGCTTTTGTTCTGTTCTTGTTCTTCATCAATAGTCCTCTCAGCAAGCAGAGGATGAACCTGACTAGACATCCAGACTTTACCACACCATTTTCCAGCAACAATTGCTCTCCTCTGCTTCCCTAACCCTCTCCCAGTATACTCTGATTTTTCTGGGGTATTATCTGGAGAATCACGACCAAATGCATTGTATATAATGAAGTTATAAGGCATCTGTTTACTATAGAGAGGAGAACGGCTTAGATTGGCACTGTAGAAGAGGTTGATGTCTAATTTCACAGTCCAGTCCCCATTGCCATGTATAGCTTCTTCAATTTCCAAAGCTGATTGTATCATTTCCTCATCTTCTTTACTGGCCTCGCGGAATGAAATCTCTCTCCAGAAATGATCACTCCCCAACTCTTCAGCCACTTGTTTAGCTTGAGCTTCTAGCTTGGGATAGTCTGCCAATATCTCAAGATGTGTCAAGGATATGCAAAAGAATCATACCAAGTGACTGAACCACAAGATCAGAATAATTGGGTGATTAGACCAACACTATAGCTACATGAGTACATAAAAGAAGAAGCAGTTTTTCTCCCAATCTTACCTTTTATGGTAACCACTTGATGTTTTCAGTCGGATAGTCTTGTATATTTCTCAAAACTACCTAATGAAGTCTATCAGTAACCTTTTTTTTCCTAGAGAATAGTAGCAGTTACACATCATCTTTAAAATCATGATTGAAAATATGAAAATAAATCAGTTATCTCATTTAACAGATGATTATTAACGCATACTCAGGTGCAACTGGGACCAAAACTCTGTTTTTCTCCC